AATATTTGGGACGCCTGAGTGGCTCAGTCGGTTGAGCATCTAACTTCGGCTCAGGTCATGGTCTCGGGGTCCTGGGACAGAGCCCTGCCTCTGGGTCCCTGCTCAGTGGGGAATGTGCTTGTCCCTCTCCCTCTGCCCCTTACCGCCGCTCCTGCTCATGTTCTCTCAAATAAGTAAAATCTTAAAATAAAAAAACCCAAAACAAAACAAAACAATGCTAACATTTATGGACCACATGCAATTACCATAGTTCTAGGTGCTTCCCATGTCTTAACTCATTTAAGGGGCTACCTTCATTACCCCCCTTTTATAGGCCAGAGGTCCTGGGTACAGAGGTTCGAAGCAGGAACTCCTGTGCCAGGCAAAGGGATAGTCCTTTTGCCTGGAAAAGCCAGAGGGGTTCTGAGATCTGTGATTGGGGCAGGGAAGCAGGATGCGGTTCTGAGGCCAGTATCTGGAAAATAATGTCGGATGCCAAGAAAGAGAAGCTATTATTTATAGAACAAACACCCCTGCTTGTACTCTGTCAATTTTTTAAAAAGATTTATTTTATTCATGAGAGAGAGACAGACAGAGACAGGGAGACACAAGCAGGGGGAGAGGCAGAGGGAGAGGGAGAAGCAGACTCCTTGCTGAGCTGGCTCCATCCTAGGACCTGGAGATCATGATCTGAGCTGAAGGCAGACGCTTAACCATCTGAGCCACCCAGGCACCCCTAGTAAATAAAGTCTTAGAAAAAGAAAAAGAGGGGCACCTGGGTGGTTCAGTGGGTTAAGCCTCTGCCTTTGGCTCAGGTCATGATCTCGGGGTCCTGGGATCAAGCCCAGCATCAGGCTCTCTGCTCAGCCGGGAGCCTGCTTTCCCCTCTCTCTGCCTGCCTCTTTGCCTACTTGTGATCTCTGTCAAATAATTAAATAAAATCTTTTTTAAAAAAGATACAATAAAGTGGGAAACACCAGGGCACTTTGCCCATTTCATTCATCAAGCCATTCTTCCACTTACATAGAAAAATGGGTGGACTGGACTCCAGCGAGGAAAAATGTACCTGCTACTATGGATTACAGTCATAAAGGTTAAAATAGAGACTGCGAATCTTGTGTTCAACTACTAAGAACTAGAAAAAGCGAAGAAAAATTCCAAAGATGAGTTTTACTTAAAGGAAGCTTAAAATGGAGTTAAAACATTTGACTCAACATTGTACAAGGAACATTTATACAGAATGTCATGGTCTGTTTTTGACAATTTAGAAACTTTTAACTTTCCTTGTGCCTTCTCTGTATGTTAAGACCACCCACCCATTAGGATCTGGAGCAGCTTGCCATAACTGCTTTATAGCGGTATATTGCATGCATTTGCACATGGAGGAAAAGAAAGATTATGAGAGCTCTGGCTCAGTTGGAAGAGCATGCGACCATTCTGGTTTTTGTTTTTTTTTTAAGATTTTATTTATTCATTTGACAGACAGAGATCACAAGTAGGCAGAGAGGCAGGCAGAGAGAGAGGAGGAAGCAGGCTCCCCGCTGAGCAGAGAGCCCAACGTGGGGCTCGATCCCAGGACCCTGGGATCATGACCTGAGCCGAAGGCAGAGGCTTTAACCCACTGAGCCACCCAGGCGCCCCCATTCTGGGGTTTTGAGTTTGAGCCCTGCAATGGGTGTAGAGGTTACTTAAAAAAATAAAAAGATTATGAAAAGCACCATGTCAAGTCTTGTACCCAATTTGAAAAAAACTGTTTCTAGTTCCTCAGATCTTTATGCACTGTGAATCCTAAAGGATCATGGCCTTTATGTTAGCCTGGGGAGGGGGAGAGGTGGGGGACGGTGGAAACAGCAGCTGGGCAGGGACAGATTTTGTCCTGAGCAGTCGTAGAACACTGGCTACTGACCATTATCCAATATGCCTTCTTACTCAAGTATTCACAGCAGCTTTTAAAAAGCTTTTTTGTTTCTTAGCCCCTCAGATCCAGGAGTGTGTGGGACAAGGGTGTGGGTGTTCACTTGGTAATTTGCCATGTCCTACAAATGTCCATCTGATGGGCACTATTATTCCCATTTTATACACGTTGAACCTGAGGCAGAGAAAGCTGTGAAGCAGGACTTCAGGGTTTTCAGGCCACATGAGGTGGGAGGGGTTAGGGCCTTGGATTTATTCTTGAAATGGGCGAGGTGGGGTGTCTAGAAGAAACATTTGGGTCAACGTTTTTGGTGTAGGCAAGATCTAGGGCTTGAAAATAGAAGTATCTGCAGACCAGGGATCTGGTCTTCATATGCCCCGGCTCAGAGGTACTCAAGGAACCTCTGCATTGGAGTTTCTGGTCTCCATGGGTTTTTTTTGTTTGTTTGTTTTAAAGATTTTATTTATTTGTCAGAGAGAGAGAGAGGGAGAGAGAGCAAGCACAGGCAGACAGAATGGCAGGCAGAGGCAGAGGGAGAAGCAGGCTCCCTGATGAGCAAGGAGCCCGATGTGGGACTTGATCCCAGGACGCTGGGATCATGACCTGAGCCGAAGGCAGCTGCTTAACCAACTGAGCCACCCAGGCATCCCTCCATGGGTTCTTGACAAGCACGCACACTAGGGAAATTCTGGTAAAACTTTAGCAGGGACTAATAAACATTTTTTTTTAAGATTTTATTTATTTATTTGACAGAGAGAGAGATCACAAGTAGATGGAGAGGCAGGCAGAGAGAGAGAGAGAGAGAGAGAGAGAGAGAGAGAGAGAAGCAGGCTCCCCGCTGAGCAGAGAGCCCGATGCGGGACTCGATCCCAGGACCCTGAGATCATGACCTGAGCCGAAGGCAGCGGCTTAACCCACTGAGCCACCCAGGCGCCCCGGGACTAATAAACACCTTAAGGGGACTTTGGATCTCATATCTGGAAATTTTATCAGCAATTGCAGTGAGAAAAACCAAGAGTTCTCTAAGCCTTTTTCTTTAGAGCAAATTATCAGCCAGAGACTGGGCCTTCCCGGGCTGGATTATAAGAGATCTTCCATTTAAGTAAGCTCTATGCCCAATGTGGGGCTTGAACTCACAACCCCGAAAATCAAGGATCACATGCTCTACCAACTGAGCCAGCCAGGCACCTCTACAAGGTGTTTCTAACATCAGGCATCAGGATAGCAGAGCAGGTGTAGGAAGCTGTAGTCTTTACTGATGTCACTTAGGGGATCACTTTGTTGCAGGAACTCTTGCAGCAGACTATGCAATCTCAAGCCACACCAAGGGTGAGAACGTTTCACTTCCCAACAGCAGGGAGCAGGTGCCCCCCACCATGGCCTACTTACACGATGGTAACAGTGCTCCTCCTGCGAGCCCTCACTGCCTTTGCTCCCCAAAGGCCCTGCACAGAACACCTCCTCAGACCAAGTATCCAATACCTAACCAGTGGTGGTAGCCACAATGCCCCCTTTCCTGGCTCAAGTGTGTCAGCTAGGAGGTATGAAGTTCCCTCATCTCCACCCACCTGCCAAACTAAGCAGATTCATGACTGCTTAGGTAGAAGGGTCCTTGAAGCCTGTCCCAACTAGTTGGGGCCAGGAGGGAGGCTTCCAATATGGGACTCTTCCAATACAGGAACCTGTAATTTCAGTCAGTTCAGAGCTAGAAAACCACAACAGACTGGGACTCCTGGGTGGCTCAGTTGGTTAAGCATCTGCCTTTGGCTCAGGTCATGACCCTGGGGTCCTAGGATTGAGCCCTGCACGGGGCTCCCTGCTTCTCCCTCTGCCTTCCACTCCCCTGCTTGTGCTTGCTCTGGCAAATAAGGTGGCTCATCAATTTCTTAGTTCTGGAGGCTAAAGTCTAGCACAGTGCCAGCATGGTTGAACTCTGTTGAGTGTTTTCCCAGACTACTAGCTTCTTGTATCCTCACGTGGCTGAGAACAGAAGGGGGAAGCTTTCCTGTGACTCAGGGTACTACCATTCATGACCTAGTTACCTATCTTCATCACCCCTGCTCCCCAAGAACCTCACCTCCTTACACCATCATATTGGGGTTTCAATATAGGACTTTTGAGGGAACATACTGAGTTTATTAACACATGCCCTACGAATGAGGGAATAAGGCAGTTAAAGATGTCCCAGAACTGGCTATCTGGTGGTATGGGACTTTTGCATCAATCAGGTAGAAGCCATGGACACCACCATTAAATTCCAAAAGGAGGGATAAAGCCAACAGGACCCCAGTGCAGCCGAGAGAACCAGGACCAAAGGGAGTAGCAGGAGGACTGAGGAACTAAGACCCGCTACAGGTGCAAAAGCAGGCCCAACTATTGCCACCTTACCACCAAAGACCCTCACACCGCCAGACTGAATGAATCCCTGTAGGAAGTTTGGTAATTGTTCTCAATGGCTGTACATGCCTACTCACTGTACTTAAACCCTCAAGAAGAAATGTGAAATGCCCATGAGGCTGAGGCACACAGGTTAAGTGTCCTACGCAAGATCAAATAGCTGGGGAGCAGCAAAGGCTCTGTTTCAATCCTGGATCTGAATCCAGAGTCTGAGCTCTTAGAACCTGGTTTTCAAGTCAGGATTCTTCTGTGTTCCTCAAAGGGGAATTTAGCACACTTCCCAACATTTCAGAGTCAAAAGAAACTGAAAATGCTGTTTATGACAGGATCGAACTCCCACCAGATGTTAAATTCTCAGAACAATCCTGTGAGGAGGGTACCCACTGATGCTCCAAGAAGCTAGGGAGATTCAAACCAAAGCAGTCGGATTCCCAAGCTGACCATGATCAAAACAACAGTGACAAAAACAATGGAACCAAAAGGCTATCTCAGGAAACCCAATTCCAGCAGAGTATTTATTTCCTCTGTAACCCCCAGCACCCCCACACTTCATGTATACCCAAACGCAACCAAACTTTGGGCTGGAGAAGTCTACTCTTAACGGCAATTGCTGCCCACCCCCCAACTAAACTCTTTCCTAGAAGCATCCCTTCTTGATCTTCCATTTTTAGTTTGAAAACAGGTCAGCAAGGGAAAAAAAAAACACGTATCAGTTTTTCATTTTTAAACTTTTTAATCAGCTCCGTGAAGAACATCCTAAAATGCTAGTGAGACACAACAGAGTATTTTTTCTTCCAGTACTAAAAAAAAGACACTCACAAATACTAAGAAACTTCTGTATTCTCAAGGGTGGGGACCTTGAATAAAAAAAACCCCACCTCTAATTGTGCTGATTTCTTGTACTTGCATTTGGAAATGCTTATGATAAATGCACGTTATTTAAAAAAAAAACCAGTCTTAACATTATTTTTTTGCCATAATCAGTAATCCTGAGAGCCCAAACTGAAAAATTGGTAGAAGGAAAAAAATACCCAAACTCTACAAAAGTCCCAGGATTATTATTTAAGAGAAAAAAATTTTAAAAACACATGGAGCTTTCTAAAAGTTCTTTGTGACAAGCTACCTTGGGAGCTCAGTTCAAAAATAGAAGTTGATGTACTAAAACAGATGTCAGTGCAGCTCCAAAAATCTTTATAAATACAGCCATTTGGAAGGATGATCCTGGACCAGAAGTTTTATTCCTTGTGTATCTGAGAACAGTAAAAAGGGGAGAATTGTAATGTTGGGAAGGCAGAGGTACACATGCTCACCTCCCAGGGTTGGTAAGGATTGCTGAGCAATGCCGCTTCATCTCCTCCATACCCAGGCAAGAGATTACAGGGTAGACAGGTTTTTAGACATCCCCTCCCAACAGCAGACTAGCTGACAGGCACCTGAGAGCAAAGGAGGCCTAGGAATGGTGTCAGGTGGGCCAGGTGAACTAAGTACAGGCAGGAGGAAAGCTCGAGTGGAACAGGACAGGGCTGGTGGACAGAGGTCTGCTCAGTGGCAACACATAAGCCTCACCTACATTAGGTGCACATGCCTCATCTCAGTTGTCGTAATTGTCTCTGTAATTTCCTCCAGAGTAGCGGTCATAACCACCCTGGCTTCTGGGAGAAAACATACATGGCAGTTAGCAAGAACATATCCTAGAAACCCTGGTATTAAAAACCACACATATTTACATATCCTGTCACGTTCTGTTATTATTACACACTGTAACATGTAAATCACGTATCAAACACATACTGTACAGAAACCACGTAATTACGTGACATGTAACTTGCACATAGCATATTACACACACAACACATACAACCAACAAAACATGGTAAACATGTTATTACCACCTACCATATTACAATTGCATTATCTTACAATTTACTAGTGCATCATACACACCTCAAAACACAGTATCACACTTAAAACCTCATTACAATTCATAAAAACTGACACTAGTTAACACCAAAATCAAGTATGTATGAACTCCCAGGCAGCTGAGCTCTTAAGAAGAAAGCAGCACCACCAGAGCACCCCAATCCCTTGGCTACCCACCTGCCACCATAGTCTCTGCTCCTTCCATATCCATACCCATATCCTCCAGGTCGACTGTCGTATCTGCCACTCCCATAGCCCTGGTCCCCACCACCTACAGTAGATTAAGAAAAAGTTGAAAAGCAGCCGTCTAGACATAAGTCACTAATAAGCCACTCTCCCCCATATCCACACTTACCACTGCACTTACCTCTAGAGTAGCTGCGACCACGCCCATGGGCCCCAAAGGCACCCCCTCTAGTTCCCCTGGCCGACTTGCCCGCGTGATCCACACGGATCTGGCGACCATCCAGAGACTACGCGTAGGGAGACACAAGGAGGATGGGTTGGTGGTCAAACAGGGCAGTGGTGAAGGAAGAATGGGTAGGGCAGGTGGGCTTTTGCCCAGAAACTCCTGCTGGGCACCAGGTTCTGGGTGCCATGTTCCAGAATAAGCTCCTTTCACCAGAACGGCTTTATCAGGAGCTATAGAATCCCACAAAATGACCTGAATCCACCGTGTTCCCCCTGCTACTACTTACATCTTGACTGAACTCAGGCTGAGTTCTCCTCCCCACTCCTACAAGCTGCCCCACTATTAGGGCTAGACAGACACCTCTCTTGGTTTGAGACTTCAGAGTCCATCCCAGAAGACTCACGAGGTCCTCTCCGGGCCAGGCCCGCAGGTCTGCAGACTCTACTACCTAAGCCCAGGGCAGGTCAACCATCCACAGGTGGCTTCTCGGCCTCATGCAGGACCAGTCGTCGCCTCCCAGGCAGCCCGGCTCTGTCTGCCGCTGCCCTCCACCCCCTAGAACAGAAGGCAGTCACGCTCCTGTGAGTGGGCACTGCGGGGTTTGGTGGCCGCGATGCCCCTAGCAGACACAGAGGGAAAAACAGAAAGAATGGTGCAAGTGGCAGATGGGGGCAGGGCCCCTATGCAGGTAGGAGACCTCACCTCTCCATTCATGGCTCTCATGGCATCTGAGGCATGCTCTGGATTGGTGAAGGTGATGAAACCAAAACCCCGGGATCGCTGAGTCTCCCGGTCCTTGACAACAACCACTGGGGAAAAAGAGAAAAATGTGGGTAGGAAGAAACATAAGCCGCAAAGGGTGTCCCCTAGAGAACAGACCCCTCCCACCACTCCTCAACTGAAAATTAGGGGGTTCTTGCAAGATTACCTTAGAACTAGGAACAAAAAAAAAAGGAATATGTGAAAGTCTAGGGTCCTGATTTTTCTTCTTCTGGTTCTTGAAACTCAAGGGCCCCAGACTTTCAAACACCCAACTCATCATACAACTAGCCCGTATCTCACCCTCCGAAATAGGACCGAAGCTGCTGAAGTGGTCTTCAAGAGCCTGTTCGTCGGTGTTGAAGTTGAGTCCTCCCACAAAAAGCTTCCCTTCTTCAGAAGACATGGCCGTCAATTTGAGTACTGCAAAGGGAGTACGAAAAAGGGTGGGAGAAACCGTAGAGATGAAAGGGAGGAAAAATGAAAAAAGCAGGACCACGAAAGGATAAAGAAAGAGGAAGACTACAAAAAAGAGAAAACAAAGAGACACCTGAACACAGACCTAAAAGAACAGCAAAAAGCCGGGAATCGGCAGAGCCGGATCAGGGAAGCAGCCATTTGGGGGCGGCCTTCGCGCATGCTCAAATCACCACCACCACGCCCGTCATTTTGTGCCACTGCGCAGGGTCCGATCACCCTTGCGTTCCCTCCGCGCCGGCAGAACAAGATGGCGGAGGTCACGTGGTGGTGGGGGAAGGGCACCCGCGAATCTCGGCTGTCGCGCGGTCCCTCCCGCCACAGACGTCGCCACTCCCTCCCAGCATTCCTCGCACTCGGATATAAGGAGCCAGCCTCCCACCAAAAGAAAAGTTTCATCTCTCAGCACGGACCTACCAACTCGGGAGAAGCCCAAGCCTACGTGTCAGAAGCCGCTGCTCTCCCCACTCGCGCACCTAGCTCCTGGCTGGCGCGTCGCACATCAGTGAGGCCAGGAGCAGCCGGCCCACAAGATACGCGCTGCTTACCTGCAAATTATGCAAAAGAACTGGAAGAACAGCTACCGTGCAGGAGCGGAGAGACTGGGAAGATTGCCGCGCAGGAAGACGCTTGATAAAGCGCACGTAGCATGCACGTCACGAAACGTCCCCCGCGCGCACCGGCGTTCATGCTCATTGGCTGAAGCCAGCAAGGGGGTGGGAGGAAGGGATGGCAGAGCAGACGGACCAATAAGCTCAGCATGCTTCCGGAAAGGGAGGCAAGCCTTGTGCGATTGGTGTACTGTGGAGTCCGTATCCATTCGCGGGCCCAGCGGTGCGCAGGAGCCTTTTCGCTCTGATACCCTTTTCCGGCCCTGACGTCACCCTGGCCGTCCTTGACGTCATATCGTCCATTGGTTCTGGCGTCTTCCTCACCATCTCAGTCGTCTTCCTGTAGGTCCCCAAGACGTAATTACTGTAACCTCCTTCACCCCCCCCCCCAGTTCTCTCGAATTCCTCAAGGATCGGATGTTTTATCCCCTACTTTACTTGTCGTCCTCACCCTTCACAGTCCTTAACGTCAGATCCTCTGTTTTCTCAGTGTGTGATGCTGATCCCTATGTTTTCTCTGCCCAACATCTAGCCGCCTGTCATGGGATCCTTTTTTCCTGGCATCATTCCTTCTCATTTCTGACTTAAGCCCTACTCCTTATCTGACTGCCTCCCGAAGTCAGTCTCTTGATTTTTCTGCTGGTAGACTGCCCGAGATGCTTTCTACAAAACAGCATGCCCCAGTCTTCAGAGGGAGTAAATTCCAATCCACAGAACAATTTTTGTTATCATGGAGGGTCCCTGAGCCCTTGATCCGCAAAGACTTTCACAGTACACAGTGGACCTGTCCAGCTTTCAGAGTTTCTGAGCTCCCCCTCAAGGAAGACTGGGTTACTCTGCTCTCAGAAACTCTACATTTCCAAGTCCTTCTAAGGGTCAGCCCTCCAAATACAGACTAGATTTGTTAACTTTTGGAGTACACAATTGTATGCATCCACAAAATGAACTTGTCTGGCTTTTGCCATATCCAGGCCTCCTATGCTCAGGATGGACATGAATAGATTTCACATTGTGCATATACATAATAGTCTTAGGTAGCCCTCAGGGAATCTGAGGCCCTATGCAAAAAGAAGTACCCGTTTGACTCTCAAAGTGAGCTCTGATCATATTCTATGGTTCATAACACATCTTCATTGTTGTTATACAAAAAGCCCCTCATTTTATTTATTCTCTTTTAATCCTGCACCCAACTTTTGTTCTCTTCCTTCTACAGTTAACCATTTTATTGGTTTTAAAGTGTATCTTTTTCAACCTTTCTTTCCTGATAAATGTATTTAAACCTACAGGTTTCTTGTTTTAACTGATTTTGCTGTGATCTACAAAATTTGCATGTAGTGTTTTTATATTATTTAGTTGTAAATTTTTTAACATTTTATTTTTTAAGATTCTTATTTGAGAGAGAGAGCATGAGGTGAGGGGAGAGTGGGGTGAGGAAGGGCAGAGGAAGAAGGAGAGAGAGAATCCCAAGGAGAATCCCCACCGAGTATGGAGCCTAATCTGGGGCTCAGTCCCTGGACCCTGAGATCAGGACCTAAGTCATGAAATCAGGAGTCAGATGCTTAACGGACTGAACCATCCAGGTGTCTCTATATTTTTAAGTAAACTCTATGCCCAACATGGGGCTTGAACTCTTGACCCCACAATCAAGAGTCCATGGTCTATCAACTGCACGAGCCAGGTGCCCCCAGTTGTAAATCTTTTTTTTTTTTAAGATTTTATTTATTTGATAGAGATCACAAGTAGGCAGAGAGGCAGGCAGAGAGAGAGGGGGAAGCAGGCTCCCCAGCGAGCAGAGAGCTGGATGTGGGGCTCGATCCCAGGACTCCGGGATCATGACCTGAGCCAGAGGCAGAGGCTTAATCCACTGAGCCACCCAGGTGCCCCAATCTTTTTTTTTTTAAGATTTATTTGAGAGAGAAAGAGAGAGAACACAGGGAGGGGCAGAGGGAGAGGGAGAAGAAAAACTATAGCAAACTACTTGTTGAGCTCAGAGCCCAACTTGGGGCTTGATCTCAAGACCCTGAGATCATGTGGTGCCTGGGTGGCTCAGATGGTTGGGCATCTGCCTTTGACTCAGGTTATGATCTCAGGGTCCTGGGATAGAGCCCAACTTTGGGGTCCCAGCTCAGCAGGGAGTCTGCTTCTCCCTCTCCCTCTGCCTGCAGCTCCCCTGCTTGTGTTTGCTCTCTTTCAAATGAATAAATAAAATGAAAAAAAAAAAAAGACCCTGAGGTCATGACCTGAGCTGAAACCAAGAATCAGGTGTTTAACTGGCTGCACCACCCAGGGGCCCCTTTACTTTCTTTCTTTTTAAAAATATTGTATTTATGGGACGCCTGGGTGGCTCAGTTGGTTAAGCAGCTGCCTTCGGCTCAGGTCATGATCCCAGCGTCCTGGGATCGAGTCCCACATCGGGCTCCTTGCTCATCAGGGAGTCTGCTTCTCCCTCTGCCTCTACCTGCCATTCTGTCTGCCTGTGCTTGCTCTCTCTCCCTCTCTCTCTCTGACAAAAAAAAATATATATATATATTGTATTTATTTATTTATTTAGATTTGAGAGAGAGCAAGAAAGAGAGTGCGTGCACAGATGCGGGGAGAGGGAGAAGCAGACTCCCTGCCAAGCAGGGAGCCCAATGCGGGGCTTGGAGGACCCCAAGATCATGACCTGAGCTGAAGGCAGATGTTCAACAGACTGAGCCATCCAGTCACCCCTATTCATTTTATTTAAGAGAGAGAGAAAGAGAGTGAGAGCAGGAGGGAGGGGCAGAGGGAGAGGGAGAGACTCTCAAGCAGACAAAGTGCTCAGAACTGGACACAAGGCTTGATCCCAGGACCCTGAGATCATGACCTGCCAGGTGCCCCTAGTTGTAAATATTTCTAAAGTTCCTTTATGATTTCTTCTTTCATCTAAGGATTATTTAGTAATGTTTCAAAGATGGGTTTTTTTTTTTAGCTTTTTGCTGTTGCTAATTTTATTGTACTATGGTCAGAGATAATGTTTAATATTGAATACTTTTGAATTCATCGAGGTGTTAGTGCCCTAACATGGTCTATTTTTGTAACTAAGTGTAAGCATAAAAGTGGTCTTCTCTGGAGCGCCTGGGTGGCTCAGTGGGCTAAGCCTCTGCCTTTGGCTCAGGTCATGATCTCAGGGTCCTGGGATTGAGCCCCGCATCGGGCTCTCTGCTCAGCGGGGAGCCTGCTTCCCCCTCTCTCTCTGCCTGCCTCTGCCTACTTGTGATCTCTCTCTGTCAAATAAATAAATAAAATCTTTAAAAAAAAAGTAGTCTTCTCCATTTGTTAAGTGTGGGTTATACAGGAATGTGTTCTTACATATATGTGAATATATAAAAACCATACATATATATAGGAATGTGTTTATATATATTAATATCTAAGTCATATATATAATATGATGTATAAATAAATAAATGTGTATATATAAAATACCAAGCTTAAAAATGTATGTTCACAGGCGCCTGGGTGGCTTAGTTGGTTAAGTGTCTGCCTTTGGCTCAGGTCATGATCCTGGGGTCCTGGGATCAAGCCTGTGTCAAGATCTGTGCTCAGCAGGGAGTCTGTTTCCTGCTTCTCCCTCTCCCTCTGCCCCCCACCACTGTGCGCTAATAGATAAAATCTTTAAAAACAAAGATTGTTCAGTACTACTTAGGTGTGTATGTTTATGGTAGACATATTTTCCTGTCAATGAGTGTATGTCCTTTGTCTTTTGTGATCTTAAATTTTGTTATTAATTATTGGGATGGCTATCTCAGCTTTCTTTGGGCTTTTATTAATGTGCTCTATCCTCTCTTCATCTTTTCATTTTCAACATTTCCCAATCTTTGTGTGGGTGTTGTTGGGACTGTTTTTCTTTTTGGGGACCTTTTTTTTTTTTTTAAATCCAATGAGGGTCTCTGTGTTCTAAATATTTTTGTGATTGTTATTATAGTAAAACTTCGGACATCCCATTTCGTATTCTCTATTTACAGTACTTTTCTGTTCCTTTTTTTCCTATCCTACTCACACCTACTATTTTCTTTAGGTCCCTTTTATATCACTTGTTCTGGTTTTATATTCTACTTTTATCTATTTATTGTATTTACTTAAAATTACTCATGTCTGGCCCAATACTTCTTCTGATATTATATTATATTGTTATATTATATTATATTATAATTATATGGCATACCCAGTACACTAGCCAGCCTCCAGGATGGCTCCCAACGATCCCTGCCTGTTGGGAATCACATCCTGTGTAATTCCCTCCCGTGTTGTCCTAGGGTTGGTTGGTGTGACCAAGAAAATATAGCAGAAGTGATGGTATGTCATTTCTGAGGTTAAGTTCTAACAGACACTACAGTTCCGTCTTGCTCATGGTCTCCTGCCTGCCTGTTGGGACCATGTGTTGTGAGGAGTTCCACGGAGAGGCTCAGGTGGCGAAAAATGGAAGCCTCCTCCCAGCAGCCTCCTGAGTGGGCCATGTTGGAAGTGGGTCCTTCAGCCAAGGGGTCATGTCTTCAGTCCTGACAACTTGCCTGAAACTTCAGATGAGACTGAGCTAAAATCACCCAGCTGAGTGGCTCCCAGATTCCTCCTGACACTCCAGAGGCTTGAGAAAATAAATGTTTGCTGTTTTAAGCTGCTAAGTTTGGGGGTCATTTGTTCTAGAGCAGTAGATAACTAATACATCCGGTTTAATTTTCTCTGGAGGTGGTGATGCTGCCCCGGTGTCTAGTCATTTTGGGGGTGAGCTCAAGTTCCCCAGACAGGAGCAGTTGTTGTGGCATGTACAAGGTCTCAAGGGAAGGCTGAGGGCCAGATTGGACTCTGCTCAGTCCCCTGGAGTTCAAAGGGTAAAGAGACGTGTGGGGAGACGAGCCAGAGGGTGGGCAGCCCCAGGTGCCACAGAAATAGAGCTACTTGGCAGTTCCTCTGATAGGGGTTTCATCTTTAAACCCCAAGAGGAGGCTGTCTCCCGAGGTGTCACCACCATCCCTGCTGTCTGGAGGGGGACAGGTGGAGGAATGATTGCCTCCAGCTGCTCATTTCCTTCCCTCAACACAGTTCTTGTTGTCCTCATCGTAGTCCCCTGCCCCAGACGACTGGAAGTGGTTGGGATAATGTCTACAGTAAGGGGCAGACAAGGACCTTCCCAACACAACATGGGGGAGAAGTTAAGAGCCAGACCTGAAACCCATCCTATTTGCTGCCTTCAGCCAGCGCCACTCAAAACAGAGGCCACTTAGAGTTAGCCTTCCGTTTCCCCACAGATCTCCATAGCTGTGTTGCAGTTTCTGGAACTCACATTTCCCTCTGTACTTTCTCCAGGGTTGCTTTTGGGCAAGGGGGTCGGTGGCTTGTGCTGTTTGCCACCATAGCAGGAACTAGAAGCCCCAAGTATTGTCAGGGATAGAGGTTTCTGCCCTTCAGTGTATCTCCTATTCACAGAAATGACTCCTCTGACCCCCAGAGGTCCTAAGCTGCCATACACAGAATTGACTTGTCTGGCCCCTCAAATACCTGCGCTCATTAGTCACGGAATGCACGCAGAGGGTGTCAGCTGCTGCTGGACAAAGGGGACATTTCAGGTCCTCAAAGGACCGGATACCCTCATACCTTGGCTGGCTCTTGGGTGGCATGTGTGTGTCTGAGCACCTTATCCGTACTTGGTTAGACCCATAGTCTTGGAGTACCCTGGACACAGGATGGTCTTGTCCAGCTCTTCCAGTGAAGCAAGCCCTCATCGGAGGAATGGTCAGCTTCCCCTCCAATACTAGGGCATGATGGGAACATCTTAAGCGTTCTCTCTAGCTCCATATGGCATTCTTGGGGAGACAGATGAGAGGATGGCAGTTCCAGTGCCTCTCATCTCTGTGCCTAGTGCAGCAATGACTTCTGGCCAGAATCTGGCATAGCCAGGCCATAACCTGAACGAGCCCAGTTACCTACCCATCATCTGCTGTGTCCTTTGTGGAGGACAGCACCTGGTCCATGAAAGAATCCACCTTCTGAGAAGGTAAGTGGGGAAAAGGGTCTTCTTTTGATCATTACCTTCCCCATAAGTAGGTGACTTCTTTTAGGCCCTGAGTTTTATCAGTGCTTGATTTGTGTGCCAATATAAATGGGATAGAGAAGGCTAAGGAATGGTTTCTGTTGCTAACATAGTTAAGACAGGTCCTCATGGGATTCCTAGGTACCTTGGTCATTGGGCGTCTACCTTCAGCTCAGGTCATGATCCCAGGGTCCTGGGATTGAGCCCCCCATCGGGCTCCCTGCTCAGTGGGAAGCATGTTTCTCCCTCTCCCTCTGCCCCTGCTTGTGTTCCCTCTCTTGCTGTGTCTCTCTCTGTCAAATAAATAAAAAAAATCTTTAAAAAAAAAGGCCCTCATGAGCTGCAAACCCAATCTAGGACTTAGAGCCCTAGGCATGGCAAGGCCACTGTCCCTCGAGCTGGTCCCAAAGCAAGTGATAAGAATAAATGCCTCAGACCCTGCCCAGGACTGCCAGCATTACTGCATAAGACTCACAGGGGAGGGTCTGGATCCTAGAAATGGTGACATGCAGAACAGCAGAAGTGGTGGCCCAACATTACTAAGTAGCCTGTCTGTGTAATGAGACTTGCCCTTTTGGAGTCACGGACTCCCCCTCTCATGCCTCATTTGGGGGCCTGTCCTGAAAACGTACGTTTATAGCCATAATCCAGACCCTTACTGGCAGGCAGATATACCACAAAACAGCCTTGGGCCTCCCCCAAGCAGTCCTCAACCTGGGCTCACCTAGAACCAGTTCTTGGCACCCACTCTCCTGCCACTGGGGAAGCAGGGGCCACCCTCCACCAAATGAGGTGTTTCCACTCCATCAGGTCAGGAGCCCCTGGGGACCCCATCTATAATAAAAACCAGAGAGAGGGTAGAGAAATACACAGACCACAGTGACCTTCGTGTGTGCAAAGTACAGTTGTTAAAAACAATACAACATAAACTGAGAAAGGAGGCTGTGGCCTCCATGGGGCAGTGCCAAGGCACAGCCCCACACTCTCAGACGTGGGGAGAAGGGGCCCTGCCCTCCAACAGGTCTAGGGCTGGCAGGCAGGGAGCTGGGGGTTTCATGTATAGGCCCCCATGGTAAAGAACAGAGATCTGGTGGTGGGACTTATGGTGGGCTGGAAGGAGCCTGATCAAGACGGGGCTGTGGCCTCGGCCCCCTCCTCGGAGTCCCACACCTCTGACTGTAGGTAATCAGCAAAGAGAGCCTTGGCCCGGCGCAGGACGCGCCCCAGGTGGTGTTTCCGCACAAGGCGGTCAAAGTGCATGGCCAGCTCGTTGTAATCTAGCCCGTTGCGCATGATGTGGTCACGGTGCTCCAGCAGGATGGCAAGGCAGAGGAAGAGCATAAATGGGTTCCCTCGGCCAAATTCCTGGGGCGGGGGCAAGCCCAGTGGGGGTGGGGGTGGCAGGGATTTCCCAGGTTCTTGTGGGGAGCCCAACTCTGGCATCAAGGGGGATCCTGCAGCCACATCACCGGTGGGAGAGGCCTCTTGAGTGGACGGCGGAGATGAGGAGGAAGGGGAATCAGGGCGGGAAGACGAGGAGAGTGGGTCTGAGGAGTTCAACAAGGGCTCAGAGAGGGACTTGGAGCTGATGAGGGCAGCTGGGTGGGGCAGCTGGACCAGAGGGTCCCTCCTGGAGCCCGTGTTATCCCTGAGTTGCTGGAGGTCATCCAGACTGGCTTGTCTCAGGAGACGCCCCCCGCCACCAGGCCCCTGGCTGGTTGTGACCAAATGGTCAACAGCATCGTCGAAAGCACCGCCTCCTCCCCCGGCAGGCCTCAGCATGTGCCTCTGTCGCACAGGCCGCCCCCTGTGGCCACTGAAGCCAGTGTCTGCCACCTGGCTGGGGGGTCCGACAAGCTCTACCTCATGTTCAGGAGGATCGGGGGGCAGCGAACTCCAGGTGACCTCGAGCATGCGGAGGGCATCGTCAAAGGCGAACTCGCGCTTGAGTTCAAGCAGCAACCAGCGGTAACAGAAGAACAGGTCGTCGGCCCCGGCTTCTTGTAGGTACTGGTAGAAGTCAGGGTCAGCATGTCGCAGTAGCAGCTTGAGGTGGGCAAACTTGGTGGCCATGGCGCGGCCATCGGGATGAAAGTTTGCAGCCAGGCGCTTCATGATGCCACAAAAGCAGACGAAGGCATGGCCTTCGTGGTCCATGACGGCGAGGATGGGCGAGGCGAGGTCGCTCATGCCCTGGCAGTAGGACACCTGCGGGTGCGTGACGGCGTAGGTGGTGAGTAGGTCGTGCAGCGCCCGCAGGTGCGGGCCGTCCTCAGGCCCCGCATAGTAGGGGTGGGCCCGGTCTGTCCGCAGCACATCCTTGAGGACTGTGCTGCGGATGAATTCCAAGTCCTCGGGGCTCGCTCGCTGTGCCCACTCGCTCTTGAGCTGCTCATACTCGCGACTCTTGCGTTTCATGTAGTCCATCCGCTCACGGCCCGTCAGCCCATCTGGGTACACGTTCAGTAGGTACCGCCACACCACCTGGCCAGGGACAACAGGGAGAAGGCTGAGGCTCGACAAATGAGCCACCACATCCTAGTGGATGTGGCCCCCACCCTGCTGCCTTGGGGCCTTTGTCTTCCCTTGGAAGAGTCGGCCTTCCTACCTCTGCCTCCCAGCGCCTCCCTCGGGAGGGCTGGCTGCCCTGGAACGGCTCCACTCCATGCCACCCCATGACAGCAAGGTCCACTGTGTGTGTGTCTCGTGAGCTAGTCACAACTGCGGGAGTGACAGATCTGATGAGTGACCGAGGCGGCTCACCTTTCGCAGGGAGGGCTCAACACCGCCGTGATAGATCCGCAGGCGCAGCTCCTCAGGGCGCGAGAGCTGGCCCTCATGGTTCAGGTAGGTGTGAAACTCAGCATCGCTCAGGGGAGGCTTGAAGGGCTTGACGTCTTCCCCATATGACCAGCTTAGCACCTGCTGGACCTTAGACAAGGTGCGGCCCACCTGTGAAGGAGGGAGAAAGGCCACCAGTCAGCTGGGCAGGCTACGGGCAGGTGCCAGCCAGCATGCTCAGAACCAGGGGTACCACGTGGGCCTGCCCTCCCCCTGCAGCTGGCCACAGGGGTCCCTGAAACCACCTGAGAGAGGATGGACTGTGTGAAGGGCAGGGCAGCTGTCGTCAGTGATGACCTTTTCTCAGCCAGGAGCACATCGGAGCCAATGACATCCTTGGGGCTGATTATGTCCCAGTCTTCCAGCAGAGGGCCTAGGCACACAGAATGACATGATACCAGAACCGGGATGAGAGGCCCACACCTCAAGGCTGGGTTCGTCTCCTAACAAAGCTAGGACACCCACGGGGCAGTGAATGACTCCCGCCCTCTCTTCCCACGTCATCTAAATCAGGTAAAACATAAAACCGTGAACAATTCTTTTTTGGTAACTGTCCCACAAAACAGCTCAGCAGACTCTAAGCAGTATTTTAGTGGGATAAAGTAACAGTTACTGAGCACTTACTACGTGCCAAGCACTGCGACAAGGGCTTCACTTTATGCCAGGAAGTGTTCTGAACCCTTTGCAAGTATGGACCCATTTAATATTAACATCCTTCCTCTAAGTTAGGCACTATTATTTTTTTTAAAGATTTTATTTATTTGAGACAGAGTTGCAAGCATGAATGGGGCGGGGAGGGACTGAGGGAGAGGGAGAAGCAGACTCCCCTCTGAGCAGGGAGCCTGATGCGGGGCTCGACTCCAAGACCCCGAGATCATGACCTGAGCTGAAGGCAGATACTTAACCAACTGAGCCACCCAGGCACCCAGTACTATTATTACTCTTACTATTATTATTATTTTAAAGATTCTTATCTCTGAGTAACTGCCACACCCAACATGGGGCTTAAACTCACAACCCAATATCAAGAGTCACATGCTCCACTGACTGAGCCAGCCAGGCGCCCCCAGTTAGGCACTATTATTAACACCATTCTTTCCATAAGGAAATAGGCACATGAGATAGTTGACTTCAGCATCATAGCTAGTAAGTGAAAGAACTAAATTTGAAGCCCAGGCCCAAAGCTCGAGAGCCCAAACGCTTAACCTTGTATTCACGCTAGTCTCCATCCTACAACTGGTACAGATTACCATGATCATTCTGATTTCATGATGACAAAAAAGGTTGTCCCACCTGTCCCACCCCACCTGTGATGTATGGCTGAAGTGGCAGTGGCCACATGAAGGAAAGTTCGAGAGACTTAAGAGATGTCAGCCCTGGGGCCCCAGAGCTGCCAAACTGACAACAGCAATGCCCAGTGGATTTCAAACTCTACTGTATGAAACAAATCAACTTGGACTTGTTTAAGCCATTGTCACTGCAGGCCAATGCTGTCCCTAAGCAGCCTGTCCATGGGATCCACTGTACCTTCTCCCACAGCAGTGAGGGAGGAGTAAACCCTAGGCCATATCTGAATGTCACTGCCTCCCCTTGGGTGTCTCATAGAGCACTGAGCGCCTCTGGAGTCCAGAAGGAGAGCTCAAGGTTCACTCTGGATACGACCTCCTCCTCTGATCTTCTATCTGTTCAATTGCTTGAGCCAGAAACCTGTGAGACATCCTTGCCACCTACCACTCTCTTAAATCCCAGGGCCAAACTCACTAAGCCCCGGGGCTTCCATATGCATAACATACTTCAATTCCACCTCTCCTCTCCTCTCTGCCTTGTCACCTATCTGAGTCACCACATCTCTCACCTGAAACTGCCTCTTTGCTTTTCTCCACTCTCCCAACAGCTGCCAGAGTAGTACTTGGGAAACAAAGTATGAAAACACTTAATAGGCAAAAGGAAGACGGTCAAACTAATGGTCTGAAAGACCAAATAGAAGAACCCGTTCAAGGTACAGAGCTAGAGCTTGATGATTTGAGTGACAATGTAGAGAGACCTGGAGGACAAGTCCTGGAGACTTAAGATGCAAGTAGTTTGGTTCCTCAATTCTGGAAGCAAGAAGACAATGGCTTGCCACATCCATGGAGCACTGAGCAGAAAGCCTGGAGATGCGAGGGCCCCCACCCAGCCAAGATAGTACGCATCTATCATGGCGAAGAAAAGACATTTTTGGTCACTGGAGTACATCCAACATGGCCATGCACTTTGTTGGAGAACAAGAAGTTCTCTAAGCAAATGACTACCGAATGACTACCAGGGCTCCAAGCGGGGGAAGGCGAAAGGGAGGATAAATGGCAACAGTCCCCAAGTTTTTAATATGTATAATTAAACATGAAATGACAAAGGTACCATGATTTGTGGGATTCCTGAAACATAAGTGATGTACTATAAAGAAAATATGATAGCCTGGAATTTAAAAAGAAATTTCCATCTATCTGTCTATCTATCTATCTATCTACAAATAAAAAGAAATTATTATCTAACCAAAATGCAGAAGTTAAAGGTTAGGGATAAGAGTAAAAAATAAGAAAAAAAAAAAGAGTAAAAAATAAGAATTAAAAGTGTTCCAAAGCTTCCATTTCAAGGGCCTGGGAGGGTGGGAGAGACTGCAAGGAGAAAGAGTTCACTGTCAATTGCTTAAGAAAACATAAATGCTGGTATAGGGTTTTTGTGAGAGACATACCTAAAACTAAGTGACAAAGAAAGGCTGAAAGTTGAAGAAACCTAAAGGTATTCCTGGCAAACACCAACAAACAGAAAGCGAGCGCAGCCATGTGAATGTCAGGAAGAGCACTGCTCAAGGCCAGAAGTATTACAGGAAAAGAAAGACATTCTACATTGATTAAAAAAAAGAAAGAACCCATGAATAGAATGGCAAAGGATTTCTACAAGCACAAACATCCAGTGGCAGTGCCTGATCCGAACTGCCATAAGACTATACATAGTCTTTATATAACCTACTAAGTGTGAACGCATACACATTTCCCTGGAGAAGCATCCAAATATTTCATTATGGGGTGCTGTCCCAGGCCCTGCTTGTGCTATTACATAATAGATGCTGTGTGTACTACATTTTCCGATAAAACTGTCAAACTTCCCAAGCCCTAAATTAATATATAAATTCTGTGCAATGCCAATCAGAAATCTAATGGGGTTTTTCCTGGAACTGGATAAAAATTATTTTAAGAATCGTATGAAAGAATTCACATTTAAGAACAGTTAAGAAAAAGAAGAGCCAAGAAAAAGAACAGTGGGAGGATGGCAATGCTTGCCTTATTAAAATTAACCACACAACCACTGTGATAAAAATATGGTGTTAGCACAGCAACAGACAAATGGAGCCAACTGGTGGAATGCGGTAAATAGCCCAGAAATAAATGCCAAGTACACATGGGAACTCAGTATATGATAAAAGTGTCATTTCAAATCAGTGTAAACATGGTGGTTCTTAATAAATGATGCTGGCATAACTGACTGTTTATCTGGCATTTTTTTAAAGAACCAGGTGTACTTATTATAATGTTCACAGAGTAGAGATTTATATGTAAAAAAAAAAAGTAACAAGCACATTAGAAGAAAACATAGGAGAATATTTGTATAAGCTTGGGGATGGGGAAGATGTTCCAAAGGGGAGATACTCAGAAATCATAAAGGAAGAGATAGATATTATGTATAAGACTGCATACAAATTTTAGTTTTCAGTAGGACAAAAAAAAAAAAAAAGACACTGTAAGCAAAGCCATAAAACAAAAGATAACCCGGGAAAAAATATTTGCAGTCCATGTGACAGAAAGAGGATTCATATCACAACTGCACAAATTGGTGGAAGGCTTAGGCTTGCTAATCTTCCCTTTGTAGAGGTGGCAGAAACAGACTTCTTACCGGAAAGAGGGACTGGCCTTCCAAGTTGTCACAACATGCTTGTTGCTTTCACAGTCATGAACATGGTCACAAGAACGTCATTAATAATATTTCTAATAAGAGCCCCATCTATTGGATACTTATAAACATATAGTTTGAGACCATTTGTGTTAAACACATACCATTTGTTTATGTGTACAAACAGGAATATACTTATATTTATATGTGGATAAATATGTGTATATGTGTACGAATAAGGAAAGGAGCTGCAAAATTACACATCAAGCTAATCAAAGTGGTTCCTGCAGGGCAAAAGGGTAGGGGATCAAGATTAGGCACAGTGTGGGGCACCTGCGTGGCTCACTCTGTTAAGCGTCTGCCTTTGGCTCAGTTCATGATCCCAGGGTCTGCCTTTGGCTCAGTTCATGATCCCAGGGTCCTGGGATCAAGCCCTGCATTGGGTCCCCTGCTCAGTGGGAAGCCTGCCTCTCCCTCTCCCTCTCCCACTGCCCCTGCTTGTGCTCCCTCTCTCACAGTGTTTCTCTCTGTCAAATAAATAAGATCTTAAAAAAAAAAAATAACAAAGAGATCAACTGTAAGAAGACCAGGAATTCAGAAACAGGTTTGTTTACCAAATGCAGGAATGTGGTAAAGGAGACAACAGTAGGAAAAGAACGGACTCATCAATAACTGAAAAGTTGATTCTATAAACAAAAAAATGTTTAAATGTCTTTTTGCCAAATTGAGAAGGGTCCATCTCTCTGCTTTATTTGCATCTCTCTCAGTTCTTTTTATTTTTTTAAAAGATTTTATTCATTTATTTGACGGAGAGAAGCAGACTCCCCCCTGAGCAAGGAGACAGACTCAGATCTTGATCCCAGGACCCTGAAATCATGACCTGAGCCAAAGACAGAGGCTAAACCAACTGAGCCACCCAGGCGTCCCTGCAGTCCTCTCAGTTCTTATGCAGCTGGGGTTTTCTTCATGTTTATTAGCTATGCAGATTTGATTTCTTTACTGAAACAGTGCTTCCGTGTCTATTTTGCAGGTGAGGAAACCAAAGCTTCAGGAATTAGTTAAGTGATTGAGCTAAGCACCCAGGGCTAATCTGGCAGAAGTTCCTGTCTCTGGCTACCTGTCTTCGCCTTTTGTCCCTCTCCCCATTTCTGTCACTATCTTTCTCCCTGACTCCAGTTTTTCTGTCCCTCTCTCTACCTCTTGCTCTTTTTCTCAAGGCTGCCAATCTTTTTTTTTTAAATTTTAAAAGATTTTATTTATTTGTCAGAGAGAGAGAGAGTGAGCACAGGCAGACAGAGTGGCAGGCAGAGTGGTAGGCAGAGGCAGAGGGAGAAGCAGGCTCCCTGCTAAGCAAGGAGCCTGTTGTGGGACTCGATCCCAGGACACTGGGATCATGACCTGAGCAGCCGCTCAACCAACTGAGCCACCCAGGTGTCCCAAGGCTGCCAATCTTAACAAGCCCACGATTTCATAGAATCAAATGGTTAAAAGCAAGGAATCTGAAGCTAGTTTGGCCACCACCTGGGTTCAAATCCTGCTCTTGCACTTACTGTCTGTGTGACATGCACAAGTCCTGTTCCCCTCTCTGAGCCTTGGTTTCCTCAACTATAACATAGGAATGACTGTCATGCCTACCTTGTAAGGTTGTTTTGACAATCAAATGAATAAATATCATGTGTGTAGAATGGTTCTAAGTGTTCAACACATGTTAGCTATTTATATGTTACTAGGACATCCTTAAAAGACCTCAGTCATCCTAAATGGGCACGTGAATTTCCTGAAGCAGTGCATCATGTCTTTCACTCCACAACTTTTTATTTTATTTTATTACTTATTTTTAAAGATTTTATTATTTTTGTTAAAGATTTTATTTATTTACTTGATAGACAGAGATCACAAGTAGGCAGAGAGGCAGGTGGAGAGAGAGGAGGAAGCAAACTCCCTGCTGAGCAGAGAGCCCAATGCGGGGCTCAATCCCAGGACCCCGAGATCATGACCTGAGCTGAAGGCATAGGCTTTAACCCACTGAGCCACCCAGGCACCCCAAGATTTTATTTTTAAAAGATTTATTTATTCATTTTAGAGAAAGAGAAACAGAGACAGTGGAGGGAGGGACAGAGGGAGAGAACCTCCCAGCAGACTCCCCACTAAGCATGGAGATGGATGTGGGGCTCGATCCCATGACCCATGAGACCATCACCAGAGCTGAAACCAAGAGCTGGATGCTCAACTGACTGAGCCACCCAGATGACCGAAGATTTTGTTTGTTTGAGAGAGAGAGAGAGAGAGAGCATGAACAGGGCGAGGGGCAGAGGAAGAGGGAGAAGCAGACTCCTCGCTGAGCGCAGAGCCCAAGGCAGGGCTCGATCTTAGGACCACAAGATCATAACCTGAGCCGAAGGCAGAGGCTTAACTGAGCCACCCAGGAGCCCCCAAAATTTTACTTTAAAAAATGTCAAGGGTGCCTGGGTGGCTTAGTTGGTTAAACATCTGCCTTCAGCTCTAGTCATGATCCCAGGGTGCTGGGATGGAGCCCCATGTTGGGGTCTCTCCTCAATGGGGAGCCTGCTTCTCCCTCTCCCTCTGCCAGCTGCTCTCCCTGCTTGTGTTCTTTCTCTCTCTGTTGAATAAATAAATAAATTTCAAATCTACAATAAAGTTAAAAAGATGATTTCATTGAATACCCATACATCCTTCAACTAGCTCGCCTAACTATTCACATTTTTCGTCACACTTGCTTCATCTTGCTCTCTCCGTATAGATACATATTATTTTTTAAAAAGATTTATTTACTTATTTCAGAGAGAGAGAGAGAGAGGGAGAGTGTGCGAGCACAAACGGACAGAGGGGCAGAGGGAGAGAGAATGCTTGAGCAGACTCCCCACAGATCGTAAAGCCCGACGTGAGGCTTGACCACAGGACCCTGAGATCATGACCTGAGTTGAAATCAAGAGCTGGCCGCTTAACTGACTGAGCCACCCAGGTGCCCAAATACATACTACTTTTTGCTGAATTATTTGCAGACATCATGACACTTTACCCCTTAATACTCAACTGTGTTTTTCCTGAGAACAAGGGGCTCTTCCTTCAATAACTGTGATACCATTACCATACCCAGGACATTTAACACTGACAATATTATCATCTAATATATGGTTTGTAATCAAATTTTTGGACCCATGTCTTAATTTATCTGTGTGCTTCCAGGGGCCAACACAGGTGAGAGTCAGGGAACAAATATGAGAAGAGAGGAAGTGGCTGAGAAAACAAGGGAACAATGAATGAGTGAGCATGAGTGCAAACAAATGATTATGTGCACAGGATGAATGAATGAATGAATACAACCATCATTATTATAATCAGCATTGTAGAGTTATGTGTTATTATAATGGAAACATACAATACTACATTTCTATTGTTACGCTGCATCATATAATTATACCCTATATTACTAGATTATATAATAGTAAATCTAATATGATAAATCATTAGAGCTAATGTTGTTTTAATATTCTTATTTTATTTATTTATTTTAAAGGTTTTATTTATTTATTTGACAGAGATCACAAGCAGGCAGAGAGGCAGGCAGAGAGAGAGGAGGAAGCAGGCTCCCTGTCAAGCAGAGAGCCCGATGCGGGGCTCGACCCCAGGACCCTGGGACCATGACCTGAGCCGAAGGCAGAGGCTTTAACCCACTGAGCCACCCAGGCGCCCCTAATATTTTTATTTTAGAGAGAGTTGGGGGAGAGATAGAGGGAGAGGGGCAGGGAGAGAAAGAGAGACAGACAGAGAATCTCAAGCAGATTCTGCAGGGAGCGCAGAGCTGTACATGGGGCTTCATCTCACAACCCTGAAATCATGACCTGAGCTGAAACCAAGAGTTGGATGCTCAACCGACTGAGATGCCCAGGTGCCCCTAGAGCTAATATTTTTTGAGCATTCATTATGCAGCCATGTATCATTCCAGGGATTTTACATGAATTTTCCTGTTTAATCCTCATCATGGCCCCAAGATACTATTATTTCTACTTTACAGGTGAAGAAATTGGGGCCCAGTGGCCAAGCCAGGATGTGGACCTCAGACACCTTTTTCCTCTCAAGCCCACTGTGAGGGAGTGTACTGTAAGGTGTGGAGTGATCCCATGGGGGAAAGGGTGGGTCCCAGAGCAGGGCCCCCAGGGCTCTGCCGGGTACTCACTGTCCTCGGTGGGCCGAATGTCTACCCGCAGCTGCAGGTAAGGTTTGGAGGCAGTGGCGAAGGCTGTGCTGAGGTCCCAGTCAGACAGGAGTGAGAGGTAAGTTTCCTGCCCCAGCCGATCCCGGCCCAGGTAGCTGATGCCAAAGTTCTTCTTCCTGGACAGAGGAAGTGTGGCAGCTCTCAAGTGCTCCCAGTGCCATGGAGGGCCCAGGGACAGTTTCCATGAAAAGCCAGGGAAGGCAGAGATGATGTGGAACAACTCTCTACTATGTGTTGGGTACAGTGCCAAGGATTTCGGGCTGTCTGAGGTCAGACAGTGTACCTCTGCTTTGTTACACAAACACAGAAACAGATACACACCTGCTGGTATCTAGAGGGCACACTGAAAGCTTAAAATGTTGGCCCCCTCTAGGGAGGGTGACAGAGTAGTTGAGGGACAGAAGTGGGAAGAAAACAGCTTTCTTACTGCATAAAAAATAAAGCAAGCTGTGTGTTTGTTATTTTTCACAGCAAAAAATGTTTACCCAAAAAAGTCAACTAACAACTAAGAATTTGTTCTTCAGATACACTTGAGCAACTATGTGATGAAGAATGTTGTTTAACTATTGTAACCATGGAAACATCCCAAGTAGACATCACTTTTGTACTCTCTGAATTTGTTACCATGTGCTTGTATTCCTCTAAAATAACAATCACAACAAAATAACCATCACACCTGTCCCCAAGAGACACCACTTTTCATCTATCAGGGCAGCAAATTTTCCAATGCTTTCTAGTAACCAGTGTTTCTTAGGGAAAGAGGCATTTTATATGTTGCTGGGGAGATTATAAATTGGCAAAAACCTAGCTGAAGAGCATTTTAGAAATAGCTGTTGAAATTTTAAAAAGCACACACCCTTTAGTCCAGCAATACCACTGCTAGGAATTTAGCCTATGACTAGATTTCCCCAAATACTCTAGGATATGCAAATGTGGCAGTTCACTGTGGGATTTGTAATAATGAAACAAACAAACAACAACAAAAAAGCCAAACAACCACTGTTGAAGTGGGTGGCCCCATGGTCAGTCCCCCAGCATCCCATAACTCACCCATTCAAATCAAAGGCTCGGATGAGGATGTGCTGTAATACATCGAGCGAGGTGATCTGGGGGTCGACGGCGAAAGAGCGGAACTCAGGTGACAAAAAGCTCTCACACTTCTGGGGAGATAAGACACAGAGTGGGCCATCAGGGGCCACATCACCACACTGAAGCAGGCAGAGTGATGGATAGGAGGCAAGGTCAGACAAGTTGTGGGCAGGGGCACATGGAAGCAGGTGTTCTGGGTTATGGGCTTTGGTTTTTGCTCTGAGTGAGGGGTAAGACTTGGAGGGGGGTTCTGTGCAGAGAGGGGACGTGATCTGACTTAGGATTTAACAGGATCCTTCCAGCTGCTCTTAAGAGAACAGGCTGTGGGGGTAAGGGAGAAAGCAGCAATCCAGTGAGAAGGAGGCTACTGCAATGGTCCAAGGACCCAATTCTTCTTCTTTGTCCCGATGGTTGTCAGGATCACCAGGTCCAGTCTGGCTCCCATTAAATCAATACTCAGTGCTGCAACAATTTGGCACATCTACTTACAATACTTCCCTGCTTAAATCTCTTCAGAGGCAACCCCAGGGTGCCCAAAAGGTGGGCCTATAGGACGCTGGCCAGCCTCTCTTCAGTCAGCTTTTTTGAACTTTACACTCTGGTGCTACCAAACTGCTGGAAGTTACTTTGAACACATCCTGGCTGCGGGCCTTTGCTTGTGCTGATCCCCCGTCTGGAAAGTCCTTCCCACTTTCTTCCAACGGGCTCACCCAGAGCTCAGAGCTCAGGTATGATCTCTTTTCTGAATTCCCAAACCTCTACCTTAGAGCTTCCTGTATTACCCTGAGGTGACCTGTTAACTTCTTTCCAGAATCTACTTTCTCACCAACACCAGTGCCACAACCCTAGTCGGAACCACCATCACCACTTGCTGGAGCTATGTATGGCAACAGCTTTCTTAGAACACATGCCAGAGGCCCTTCCCAATCTGCTTCTCTTTTATCTCATTGTTTTACCCCCTACCCACCCCTGCCCTTGTTCTCTTGTTCCAGCAATATGGGAACCTAAGGGAACATGCCAGGCTCATCCCCACCTCCCAGCCTTTGCCTTTGCTCTTGTATCTTTTTACCTGGGTCTCTGCCCCTTCAATACCTTTCTAGGGACTTCCTGCTACAACCCTGGCTAAAGGAACTCCCTAGTTCAAAAGCTTTTTCGTTATCTCCTCTTGACATTCACCAGTGTCCAAAGCATCTCATTGATTTAGCTGTCTTCCCGATAAGCACGTCAGCTCATCCCGGGTGAGATTGTAAATGTGCACATAGGTACATGTCTCTACATGTTAATTGACTTCAGCACCTCCTTTCAGACACCAACAGCCCCCCTTCAACTATTTAAGGCCCCTCCTCCAGCCCTATGGCCCCTCCTCTCTACCCATGATCTCCACCTATCCATTCCTCAGGCCCCTACCCCTCCATTTTCAGTCCCTAGGTCCTCAGGGCCTGCCCAGCATTTCTAGGTCCAGCCCCCACTCCCCCACCCCTGTCCCCACCACTATCACTCTGCCCTCAAGCCTCGCCCCTCAAGTTAACACCCCAAATCTCGGTTCCCGCCCTCCGGTCTGAGAGAATCACCGCTTTCCCCTCCCCTGGGCACCCCAGGAGGGCCGGCCGACCAACTGTCAGCCTCACCTTGACTCGGACCCGTACCACCTCTCGCTCCTCCTCCTCAGCCGCCGCCGCCTGGGCTCCCCCGCCAGGTGGGGGCGCTCCAGAGCCGACCAAATCCGAGGCTCCAGAGGCCGACGCCATCCCGCCGCCACCCGCCTCGGGGCGACGGTTGACCGTTGCCCCCCACCTCTGTGCGGACTCCACAGTTCGGGCGCCCGCGGCCCCACCTTGTGGCCCGGCGCAGGCGCAGAGGGCGCTGTGAGACCCTGCCCCCCCGCTGCCCCTCCCGCCAGGCACAGGGTGGAGATGGCCTCTGCGCACGCGCTTAAAATGCTGTTGCCAGGTGTCCCGCCCCCAGAAGCCGTGCATTGTGCCTCACTTCCAACAATGCGCAGGCGCATACTGAGGTCCCGCCTCCCCTCGCCAGCGGTTTGGTTGTCTGGGCAGCTTAATTCCAGATTCACCTACGTGTTACAGTGACGATCTACTCGGGCGAGAGAAGTGGGCAGGGAAAGAATCTGCCGTGCGATGACGTCAGGCCCCACATCCCGCCCGGAGTTGCCTCGTGCCTCTCCTTTAAAGATGATGTCATCTATTTCAAAAGCCTGTGGCCCTTGCTTCAAATGAGCCTGCTGAATGGAAAAATAATCCCTTTTCCAGAATCTTTAAAAAATAGTTTACATGGGGCACCTGGGTGGGTTAAGCCTCTGCCTTCGGCTCAGGTCATGATCTCAGGGTTCTGGGATCGAGCCCCGCATTGGCCTCTTTGCTCAGCAGGGAGCCTCCCCCCCACCCCTGCCTACGTGTGAGCTCTGTCAAATAAATAAAATCTCCACAAAAAAAGTTTCCATGTACATATATGACTTTTGCAGTTTCTGTCTCCATGATTTATATATATATATATATATATATTTTTTTTTTTTAAAGATTGTATTTATTTGAGAGAGGGAGAGAGAGTGTGCACAAGCCAGGGAAGGGGCAGACAGAGGGAAAAGGGGACTCCCTGCTGAGCAGGGAGCCCTATGTGGGGGCTCCAACCCAGAACCCCAGATCAGGACCTGAGCTGAAGGCAGATGCTTAACTGACTGAGCCACCTAGGCACCCCCGAATGATGTATTTCAATAAATAATTTACTAAAAAATTCATTTTTATGCTCTCTGGAGGTCCTAGCTTTTTAAGTTTGCCTTCATTTTATTTGATCCTTGCAAGACGTTGAGGTCAGTCCTGTTATTAAACAGTGTATGTCTACTAAATATCAGCTGATTGAACACACTTTAGATTCCTCAAATCACCAAATACATGAAGGAATTCATCTCACTTCACTGAATATCCATCTGGTTTGGACAAAACACAGACTGCCCTTACAAACATAATTCCTAACAAAGGAGTCCTGTAAGATGCCTGGACTTCAGTTATTGTTGCAGTATTGTATGAATGCTACTCTTAACATTTTTAAAAAAGATTTTATTTATTTGACAGACAGAGATCACAAGTAGGCAGAGAGGCAGAAGCAGGCTCCCTGCTGAGCAGAGAGCCGGATAGAGGGCTGGATCCCAGGACCCTGGGATCATGACCTGAGCCGAAGGCAGAGGCTTTAACCCACTGAGCCACCCCAGGTGCCCCTGCTACTCTTAACATTAACTTTCTAGAGAAGCCCGCAATTCTATTTTGGTATCTTTTTAAAAGAGATTTTATTTTTTTATTTTATTTATTTTTTTTTAAAGATTTTATTTATTTATTTGACAGAGAGAAATCACAAGTAGGCAGAGAGGCAGGCAGAGAGAGAGGAGGAAGCAGGCTCCCTGTTGAGCAGAAAGCCCGATGTGGGGCTTGAACCCAGGACCTGGGATCATGACCTGAGCCGAAGGCAGCGGCTTAACCCACTGAGCCACCCAGGCGCACCGAGATTTTATTTTTTTAAAGATTTTTTAAAAAATTTATTTATTTGACAGAGATCACAAGTAGGCAGAGAGAGAGGAGGGGAAGCAGGCTCCCTGCTGAGCAAAGAGCCCGACATGGGGCTTGATCCCAGGACCCCGGGATCATGACCTGAGCCAAAGGCAGAGGCTTTAACCCACTGAGCCACCCAGGCACCCTTTATTTATTTTTTAGAGAGAGAGTGATAGAGTACGAGCTGGAGTGGAGGGGTGTGTGGGGGTGGTGGGAAGCGAACTTCCTGCTGAGTAGGAAGCCCAACTCAGGGTTTGATCCCTGGACCCTGGGGTCACGATCCCAGCAGACACTTAACCAACTGAACCACCGAGGAGCCCCTATTTTGGTATCTTTTAAAGTAATTGTTTCCTCGGTATTATTATTACATGGATGTCAATTTTTTAGAAGGTATAAATACTGGAGAATTTTTTTTTTTGTAAGCCAGAGAAGGGTTTTTGGCATTTTTCTTCTGATCCATGTGCTTGAGTAAATAACACTTCTTATGGGTCCGCTGGATTTTCTGAAGGAAATTAGGAATTTGAGAGTCTGCTTCTCATTACAATTACCACAGGGTGGGATGAGCAAAACACTAGCCTGGATTCTGGAGTTCAATCCTGATGGCAGCACTGGATCCCAGGTTTTAAATGGGGATATAATGTGGTCACATTCCTGTCTTGGTTGTGGAGAGGGCCTTGGCTGGAAAGACTGCTTACTGGAAGCAAGGAGATAAAAAAGGAGGTCCTTGTCATAGTCCTGGGGAGAACTTTCTCTTTCATTTATTTATTCTTCCATTCAACAAATACAAAGTGTATGCCAGGCGCTCTACATATATTAATTCTTTTAATCTGCATAAAAATCCAATGAGGTAGGTACCCTTATGAGAATTTTACATGTGAAAGCACTGAAGGTCAAGGAGAAACATGCTCAAGATCAAAGGGATAATAAGTGGCATGGAGAGTTAAGTGCAATGGCCAGAAGGTGGCTGTGCTTGGCTTTGGCTTTAACAGCCAGGCATTTCTCCAAAACTATACTGCAGGCTTGAGCAGAACCAGGATTTGAACTGAAGTCCTGTTCTGCACAGGTCACCAGGAGCCAGTTTACAGGTATCCGCAGTTTTTTTCATTCTTTGTCATCTCCTCAAAGTTCCTCAAGTACCCATCTGTTTTATGACTCAAGGTCTATGAGGTTAATGACAGACAGACTGTGGGAGGAGCGATGGGGGTGGGTCTATAGGGTGAGAGGTTATTCGTGGGATGAATGATGAGAATCTGTGGATACATGATAGGTGATCTGAAGGATGATAGGATGTGGGGTGATAGAAGATCTGTGGGGTAACTGGGGACCTGTGGGGTATGAGGTGACAAATTCTGCAAGGCGAGTTATGGGGGTTTGTAGGGTAAGTAATGACAGCCTATGGGGTAAATGATAGGGGATTTGTGGGGTGACTTGAGAGGGTCTGTGTTATCCATGATGGGGGGGTCTACAGGGTGAGTCATGGGGTTGTAGGGTATACGACTGACTGGAGGTCTGTTGGGGTAAGTTATGGGGTATGTGAAGTGAGTGATGGGTCTTGTGAGTTTTTGCAGTCCCTAGGGTGAGTGATGGGGATCTTAAGGGTACTGATGGGTGTCTTTGGAGTGAGTAATGGGGGAGTCTGAGGTGAGTGAAGAAAGATCTGTGGAGTTATTGATGGGGTGTCTATGGGGCACCTGATCAGGAGACACAAGGTTGAATAAATTGAAGAACTTATAGATTTGGAAAGTTCTACAAAAAATGAGAAAGTGTGCTCTGGAGAGAACACCAAGGGTGTGAATGGATGATCACTTCTTAAGAGAGATAATGGGTGTCTCGTGGATCTAATTAGTCATCATGGGACTCTGTGGGGTCAGTGATAGGGGGTTTGTAAGGTTATAGATTGGAAGCCTAAGTGATGATGATGGAGGGGGGTCTATGGCTGAGAGAACGGTGGTCCTTGAAATGAGTGAGGGAGGGGCTTGTGGGGTCAGTCAGAGGACATCTCTGGGGTTAGTAATTAAAGATCTCTCAGTGTTAGAGTCAAGATCTTTTATTTCCTGATTTTAAAAACTGCCACCATCATGGCCCTTCTAGTTTCTTCTGTACCTTTGTCCCAGTGGCTCCTGGCTGTAGCTCCACACAGCCCCTTTCTTGCCCCTGCCTCTGGCCCTTCTGGTGCTTACCCATCAACCCGAGTTTGACAGATTAATTTGCTTTGTCCCTCCAACCTGCAGGACTGGACTCTTCTTCCTGGTGGAGGGTTCCTCATCACAGTGTTCAAGCCCAGCCTACTACTTATTAGTTCAGCTTGCTCTTGGCTTTTGTGGTTTTGGTGTCCAGCATGCTCTGGGCATGAGCGAGCTGCTTTACAGAATCGAGCACAAGGATTCCAGGCAGCACCAGCCACAGGCCGTTCATGAAGACAAAGTAAAACCAGAAGTAGAGCGGGTGGCCCAGCTCCCCATGCTGGAATCCATCCCGCTGCTCTGTTAGGAAATAGAGCACATCCCCATAGATCTGACCTGTGGGAGGTAAGAGGGGAAGAGGAAACCCAGTCAGGAGGAAAAGCTATTCCAAGGCATCTTCTAAGTCATCATTCAAGGTCTCAGAGCTGATTCTCAAATTTAGAGAGCTAAGAAATCAGAAAACATACGGCTGAAAATTTGAGGAATTAGAAAAGTGAGAATTCCAGAAATCAGAAGCTGAGAATTTCTCAACTCAGGAGAGATCTTATCTCCAGAATTTAAGGAAGCTCAAAATACCTTTAATTCAAGACAGCGCAGGATTCCAGAACTAAAGAAAGCTAGCAGTGTAAGAATACAAGAGGACTGAATGCCAGATGAAGGGAGCTCAGAATCCTAACCCTGGAGGATCCAGGGGCTTCCTGCCACCTCATGTAACCTTCACAGGAGACATTGTGATGAAAGAGGAGGAGGGGGAAATGACCCTTTCCCACCTGAGAACACAGACTGAGAGGGTCATGGCTGTTCCAGAACCTCAGGATGATGTCATTCAGCCTGACTCAGCCCTGGATGGGCACAACTGAGAGGTGCTCTGTGTAGGGATCCCCGTGTCTGTGGATCCCCCATCAACCCCTCTAGGACCCAGTGTGGGCCCCCTCCTCACCTACAGAGACCACGAGCTGTAAGACAAAGCGGAGGGGCTGCTGGCGGAGAAAGGCGATCACCACCCATAGGCTGAGTGGTCCCCAAAGGCAAGCTGTGATGGTCTCCATGCATATCGTGAAGTTGTCACTCCTGTGGGAGGAGAAAGGATTGGGGAGCACTGGCATCACTGTGCTGTACCCACATGGTACCCCATTAGTGCTCCCCGACTCACCACCACCCCCAAATCAATGCAGGGCTCCCTTGATGGAGGCAAACACTTACAGGATATATCGGCTGTCTCCCTTGGCATACTCCTTCCCTGAAGAAGGTGAGAGACATACATGAAGAATAAAGGCAAGAAAAGGAATTCAGATGTGTGAGAGCTGAGGGCCCATGTAAGGTGGGCTTCATAACCTCTCCATGCCTCAGTTTCCTCATCTGAGAAATGGGGTAGCTGTCTGGATTTTAAAGTGAACATATGTATACAAGATAATGTGTGCAGACCTGACACAGAACAGTAAGTAAGGCTGTGACTGTCTGGTATCCAATAAATGCAGAATAAAAGAAGGTAAGTGTAGGTGATGGGGTGAGTGAAGTAGCCAGTGAATATGAGAGAAAGAGAGAGAGAGCACGCATGAGTGAGCAAGCAAGCACAAAGGTGAACAGATGAGTGAATCAAAGAATGAGCAGAGAATTAATAAGAAAAAGACAGACCACTCAATGTAAAAATAGACAGGAGACAAGAATAGGTTCTTTAGAAAACAGGATTCCAAAATGGTCAATAAACATATGAAACGTGTTCAAACTTCATTAATTATTAAGAAAAAGCAAATTAAAACCATAATGAGGTACCACTTGCAGCCACTATGACTAAAACTAAACCTGACCATACCAAGTGTTGGCAAGGATGTGGAGGAACTAGAACTCCCATATGCTGCTGATGGGAAAATAAAATGGTATAGCCATTTTTAAAAACAGTTTGGCAGTTTTTTCATAAAGTTAAACACACATCTACCACTCTTCTCTTCCGTATTTACCCAAGAGAAACAAAGGCGGATCTTCACACAGACTTGTGTTAGATCCAAGTGTTATGTAAGAATAGCAGTTTTATGGGTGCCTGGGTGGTTCAGTTGGTCAAGCATCTGCCTTTTGCTTAGGTCATGAACCTGGAGTCCTGAGATTGAGTTCTGCATCGGACTCCCTGCTCAGTGAAGAGTCTGTTTCTCCCTCTCCCTCTACCCCTGCTCGTGCACTGGTGCTCTCTAATAAATAAATAAAATCTTTGAAAAAAACATAGCATAAAAATAATTTATTCATGAGGCCAAAAAGGAGTATTATTTATAATAGCAAAAGACTGGGGGCACCTGGGTGGCTCAGTCGTTGAGCTCTGCCTTCAGCTCAGGTCATGATCTCAGGGTCCTGGGATTGAGCCCGGTGTTGGGCTCCCTGCTTAGTTGGGAGTCTGCTTCTCCCTCTTCTGCTGCTTGTTCTCTCTCTCTTTCTCTCTCAAATAAATAAAATCTTCTTTTTATTTTTTTATTTTTATTTATTTATTTGACACAGAGAGAGAGATCACAAATAGGCAGAGAGGCAGGCAGAGAGAGAGGGAGAAGCAAGCTCCCCGCTGAGCAGAGAGCCCAATGCGGGGCTCGATCCCAGGACCCTGAGACTATGATCCGAGCCGAAGGCAGAGGCTCAACACACTGAGCCACCCAGGATCCCCGAAATCTTTTTTTTAAATTTGTTTATTTGCCAGGGAGAGAGATCACAAGGAGGCAGAGAGGCAGGCGGGGGGGGGGGGGGG